TTGTGATTGTGAGTGTGATGATGATTATTGTGAGTGTGATGATGATTGTGAGTGTGATGATTGTGATTGTGGGTGTGATGATTGTGATTGTGGGTGTGATGATTGTGATGATTGTGATTTTGAGTGTGATGATTGTGAGTGTGGGTGTGATGATTGTGATTGTGGGTGTGATGATTGTGATTGTGGGTGTGATGATTGTGATTGAGTGTGATGATTGTGGGTGTGATTGTGATGTGATGATTGTGGGTGTGATTGTGATGATTGTGATTGTGAGTGTGATGATTGTGAGGATGAGTGTGATTGTGGGTGTGATGATTGTGATTGTGATGATTGTGATTATGATTGTGATTGAGGGTGTGATGATTGTGATTGAGGGTGTGATGATTGTGATTGTGAGTGTGATGATTGTGAGTGTGATGATGATTGTGAGTGTTATGATTGTGAGTGTGATGATGATTGTGAGTGTGATGATGATTGTGAGTGTTATGATTGTGATTGTGAGTGTGATGATTGTTATTGTGGGTGTGATGATTGTTATTGTGGGTGTGATGATTGTGATTGAGTGTGATGATTGTGGGTGTGATTGTGATGATTGTGAGTGTGATGATTGTGAGGATGAGTGTGGGTGTGATTGTGATGATTGTGATTGTGGGTGTGATGATTGTGATTGTGAGTGTGATGATTGTGATTATGATTGTGATTGAGGGTGTGATGATTGTGATTGAGGGTGTAATGATTGTGATTGTGGGTGTGATGATTGTTATTGTGGGTATGATGATTGTGATTGTGGGTGTGTGATTGTGGGTGTGATGATTGTTATTGTGGGTGATGATTGTTATTGTGGGTGTGATTGTGATTGAGTGTGATGATTGTGATTGTGGGTGTGATGATTGTGATTGTGAGTGTGATGATTGTGATTGTGGGTGTGATGATTGTGATTGTGAGTGTGATGATTGGATTGAGTGTGATGATTGTGATTGTGGGTGTGATGATTGTTATTGTGGGTGTGATGATTGTGATTGAGTGTGATGATTGTGGGTGTGATTGTGATGTGATGATTGTGGGTGTGATTGTGATGATTGTGATTGTGAGTGTGATGATTGTGAGGATGAGTGTGATTGTGGGTGTGATGATTGTGATTGTGATGATTGTGATTATGATTGTGATTGAGGGTGTGATGATTGTGATTGAGGGTGTGATGATTGTGATTGTGAGTGTGATGATTGTGAGTGTGATGATGATTGTGAGTGTTATGATTGTGAGTGTGATGATGATTGTGAGTGTGATGATGATTGTGAGTGTTATGATTGTGATTGTGAGTGTGATGATTGTTATTGTGGGTGTGATGATTGTTATTGTGGGTGTATTGATTGTGATTGAGTGTGATGATTGTGGGTGTGATTGTGATGATTGTGAGTGTGATGATTGTGAGGATGAGTGTGGGTGTGATTGTGATGATTGTGATTGTGGGTGTGATGATTGTGATTGTGAGTGTGATGATTGTGATTATGATTGTGATTGAGGGTGTGATGATTGTGATTGAGGGTGTAATGATTGTGATTGTGGGTGTGATGATTGTTATTGTGGGTATGATGATTGTGATTGTGGGTGTGTGATTGTGGGTGTGATGATTGTTATTGTGGGTGATGATTGTTATTGTGGGTGTGATTGAGTGTGATGATTGTGATTGTGGGTGTGATGATTGTGATTGTGAGTGTGATGATTGTGATTGTGGGTGTGATGATTGTTATTGTGAGTGTGATGATTGTGATTGAGTGTGATGATTGTGATTGTGGGTGTGATGATTGTGATTGTGGGTGTGATGATTGTTATTGTGGGTGTGATGATTGTGATTGTGGGTGTGTGATTGTGGGTGTGATGATTGTTATTGTGGGTGATGATTGTCATTGTGGGTGTGATGATTGTTATTGTGGGCGTGATGATTGTGATTGAGGGTGTGATGATTGTGAGTGTGATGATTGTGATTGTGGGTGTGATGATTGTGATTGTGGGTGTGATGATTGTGATTGTGAGTGTGATGATTGTTATTGTGGGTGTGATTGTGATTGAGTGTGATGATTGTGATTGTGGGTGTGATGATTGTGATTGTGGGTGTGATGATTGTGGGTGTGATGATTGTTATTGTGGGTGATGATTGTTATTGTGGGTGTGGTGATTGTGATTGAGTGTGATGATTGTGATTGAGTGTGATTGTGGGTGTGATGATTGTGAGTGTGACGATTGTGATTGAGTGTGATGATTGTGATTGTGGGTGTGATTGTGAGTGTGAACTGGGTGAGTGATTGTGATTGTGGGTGTGATGATTGTGATGATTGTGAGTGTGATTGTGAGTGTGAACTGTGTGTGTGTGTGTGTGTGTGTGTGTGTGTGTGTGTGATGATTGTTATTGTGGGTGTGATGATTGTTATTGTGGGTGTGATTGTTATTTTGGGTGATGATGATGATTGTGAGTGTGATGATTGTGATTGTGAGTGTGATGATTTTTATTGTGGGTGTGATGATTGTGAGGATGAGTGTGATGATTGTGAGTGTGATGATTGGATTGAGTGTGATGATTGTGATTGTGGGTGTGATGATTGTTATTGTGGGTGTGATGATTGTGATTGAGTGTGATGATTGTGGGTGTGATTGTGATGTGATGATTGTGGGTGTGATTGTGATGATTGTGTTTGTGAGTGTGATGATTGTGAGGATGAGTGTGATTGTGGGTGTGATGATTGTGATTGTGATGATTGTGATTATGATTGTGATTGAGGGTGTGATGATTGTGATTGAGGGTGTGATGATTGTGATTGTGAGTGTGATGATTGTGAGTGTTATGATTGTGAGTGTGATGATGATTGTGAGTGTGATGATGATTGTGAGTGTTATGATTGTGATTGTGATTGTGAGTGTGATGATGATTTTGATTGTGGGTGTGATGATTGTGATTGTGAGTGTGATGATTGTGATTGTGAGTGTGATGATTGTGATTGTGAGTGTGATGATTGTGATTGTGAGTGTGATGATTGTTATTGTGGGTGTGATGATTGTTATTGTGGGTGTGATGATTGTGATTGAGTGTGATGATTGTGGGTGTGATTGTGATGATTGTGAGTGTGATGATTGTGAGGATGAGTGTGGGTGTGATTGTGATGATTGTGATTGTGGGTGTGATGATTGTGATTGTGAGTGTGATGATTGTGATTATGATTGTGATTGAGGGTGTGATGATTGTGATTGAGGGTGTGATGATTGTGATTGTGGGTGTGATGATTGTTATTGTGGGTGTGATGATTGTGATTGTGGGTGTGTGATTGTGGGTGTGATGATTGTTATTGTGGGTGATGATTGTTATTGTGGGTGTGATGATTGTTATTGTGGGTGTGATTGTGATTGAGTGTGATGATTGTGATTGTGGGTGTGATGATTGTGATTGTGAGTGTGATGATTGTGATTGTGGGTGTGATGATTGTTATTGTGAGTGTGATGATTGTGATTGAGTGTGATGATTGTGATTGAGTGTGATGATTGTGATTGGGGGTGTGATGATTGTTATTGTGGGTGTGATGATTGTTATTGTGGGTGTGATGATTGTGATAGTGGGTGTGTGATTGTGGGTGTGATGATTGTTATTGTGGGTGATGATTGTTATTGTGGGTGTGATGATTGTTATTGTGGGCGTGATGATTGTGATTGAGGGTGTGATGATTGTGAATGTGATGATTGTGATTGTGGGTGTGATGATTGTGATTGTGGGTGTGATGATTGTGATTGTGAGTGTGATGATTGTTATTGTGGGTGTGATTGTGATTGAGTGTGATGATTGTGATTGTGGGTGTGATGAATGTGATTGTGGGTTTGATGATTGTGGGTGTGATGATTGTTATTGTGGGTGTGGTGATTGTGATTGAGTGTGATGATTGTGATTGAGTGTGATTGTGGGTGTGATGATTGTGAGTGTGACGATTGTGGGTGTGATTGTGAGTGTGAACTGTGTGTGTGTGTGTGTGTGTGTGTGATGATTGTGATTGTGGGTGTGATGATTGTTATTGTGGGTGTGATGATTGTTATTGTGGGTGTGATTGTTATTTTGGGTGATGATGATGATTGTGAGTGTGATGATTGTGATTGTGAGTGTGATGATTGTTATTGTGGGTGTGATGATTGTGATTGTGAGTGTGATGATTGTTATTGTGGGTGATGATTGTTATTGTGGGTGTGATGATTGTGATTGTGAGTGTGATGATTGTTATTGTGGGTGATGATTGTTATTGTGGGTGTGATGATTGTGATTGTGAGTGTGATGATTGTTATTGTGGGTGTGATGATTGTGATTGAGTGTGATGATTGTGATTGTGGGTGTGATGATTGTGGGTGTGATGATTGTTATTGTGGGTGATGATTGTTATTGTGGGTGTGGTGATTGTGATTGAGTGTGATGATTGTGATTGAGTGTGATTGTGGGTGTGATGATTGTTATTGTGGGTGATGATTGTTATTGTGAGTGTGACGATTGTGATTGTGTGATGATTGTGATTGTGGGTGTGATTGTGAGTGTGAACTGGGTGAGTGATTGTGATTGTGGTTGTGATGATTGTGGGTGTGAGTGTGAACTGTGTGATGATTGTGATTGTGGGTGTGATTGTGAGTGTGAACTGGGTGAGTGATTGTGATTGTGGGTGTGATGATTGTGGGTGTGAGTGTGAACTGTGTGATGATTGTGATTGTGGGTGTGATGATTGTGGGTGTGAGTGTGATGATTGTGATTGTGGGTGTGATGATTGTGAGTGTGATTGTGATGATTGTGAGTGTGATTGTGAGTGTGAACTGTGTGTGTGTGTGTGTGTGTGATGATTGTGAGTGTGAACTGAGTGTGGGTGTGATTGTGAGTGTGAACTGAGTGAGTGTGTGTGAACTGAGTGTGTGTGAACTGAGTGTGGTGATTGTGAGTGTGAGTGTGAACTGAGTGTGTGTGTGATGATTGTGATTGTTCACAGAATCAGCTGCTGACAAAGGGAATGGTGATTCTTCGAGATAAAATTCGCTTTTATGAAGGTGAGATAATTTTATATTTTAAGATCTAATGAATGAGATTCAGACATCAGAACATATTTGGGTTTGGAGCACAATTTGTGTGTGTGTGTGTGTGCAGGTCAGAAGCTGCTGGATTCTCTGGCAGAAACGTGGGACTTCTTCTTCTGTGATGTTCTGTCCACACTACAGGCCATCTTCCACCCCGTGCAGGTGCTTCACACACACTGATCCGTTCCACTGAACTAGTGAACGCCATGTGTGATTTTGTGTGTGTGTGTGTGTGTAGGGGAAGGAGCCGTCGGTCCGTCAGCTGGCTCTGCTGCATTTCAGGAACATCATCACTCTGAACACGAAGCTGGAAGAAGCTCTGAGTCGACAACGCGCTCGTGTGCCTCCCTCCATCATCCAGATGCTGCTCATCCTGCAGGTGTGTGTGTGTGTGTGTGTGTGTGCCTCCCTCCATCATCCAGATGCTGCTCATCCTGCAGGTGTGTGTGTGTGTGTGTGTGTGCCTCCCTCCATCATCCAGATGCTGCTCATCCTGCAGGTGTGTGTGTGTGTGTGTGCCTCCCTCCATCATCCAGATGCTGCTCATCCTGCAGGTGTGTGTGTGTGTGTGTGTGTGTGTGCCTCCCTCCATCATCCAGATGCTGCTCATCCTGCAGGTGTCTGTGTGTGTGTGTGTGTGTGTGTGTGCCTCCCTCCATCATCCAGATGCTGCTCATCCTGCAGGTGTGTGTGTGTGTGCCTCCCTCCATCATCCAGATGCTGCTCATCCTGCAGGTGTGTGTGTGTGTGTGTGTGTGCCTCCCTCCATCATCCAGATGCTGCTCATCCTGCAGGTGTGTGTGTGTGTGTGCGTGTGCGCCTTCCTCCATCATCCAGATGCTGCTCATCCTGCAGGTGTGTGTGTGTGTGTGCGTGTGCGCCTTCCTCCATCATCCAGATGCTGCTCATCCTGCAGGTGTGTGTGTGTGTGTGTGTGTGTGCCTCCCTCCATCATCCAGATGCTGCTCATCCTGCAGGTGTGTGTGTGTGTGTGTGTGCCTCCCTCCATCATCCAGATGCTGCTCATCCTGCAGGTGTGTGTGTGTGTGTGCCTCCCTCCATCATCCAGATGCTGCTCATCCTGCAGGTGTGTGTGTGTGTGTGTGTGTGCCTCCCTCCATCATCCAGATGCTGCTCATCCTGCAGGAGTGTGTGTGTGTGTGGGTGTGTGTGCCTCCTTCCATCATCCAGATGCTGCTCATCCTGCAGGTGTGTGTGTGTGTGTGTGTGCCTCCCTCCATCATCCAGATGCTGCTCATCCTGCAGGTGTGTGTGTGTGTGTGTGTGTGCCTCCCTCCATCATCCAGATGCTGCTCATCCTGCAGGTGTGTGTGTGTGTGTGCCTCCCTCCATCATCCAGATGCTGCTCATCCTGCAGGAGTGTGTGTGTGTGTGGGTGTGTGTGCCTCCTTCCATCATCCAGATGCTGCTCATCCTGCAGGTGTGTGTATGTGTGTGCGTGTGCGCCTTCCTCCATCATCCAGATGCTGCTCATCCTGCAGGTGTGTGTGTGTGTGTGTGTGTGCCTCCCTCCATCATCCAGATGCTGCTCATCCTGCAGGAGTGTGTGTGTGTGTGGGTGTGTGTGCCTCCTTCCATCATCCAGATGCTGCTCATCCTGCAGGAGTGTGTGTGTGTGTGTGTGGGTGTGTGTGCCTCCTTCCATCATCCAGATGCTGCTCATCCTGCAGGTGTGTGTGTGTGTGCGTTTCCCAGCAACTCTTCAGATGCTTGTGTAAACAAATGCAACGTCTTATCTGAAATGTCTCTAGATTTCCTGAGTCGACGCAGAGCTGAAACTGTCAGTTTTAAACTTACAGGAAGGAGTCGCATGACAAGTGTGTGTGTGTGTGTCAGGGTGTCCACGAGGCTAAAGCTGTGTGTGTGCTTTAGTGTATGCATGTGAAGTAAGACGTGAAAAGTGGTTTTTTCTCTATGAGTGAAATATATCTACACATTACTGATATTTTGAAGTAAGCTGTGTGTGTGTTTCTGGTTTGATGTGGATTGTGGTCGTATTTCCTGTGTTTGTCTTTTCACGAGGCTAATTGTGTGTGTGTGTGTGTGTGTGTGTGTGTGTGTCAGGGTGTTTACGATACTAAAATCATAATAAAGTAGGCTATACTATGTACAAAAAATCAGATGAGCCCAGAATATGAACGCAACGTGTTTAATTACACGTTAAGCATTTTCCTCCCATAGAAAACCATTATAAGAAGAACGCTTAATTTGGCTTAATGCAGATTAAAATGTCCCCTTATTATGTCTAAATAACAAGATAAGTTTTCTTTTTTTTTCTTCACCAATGCGGTTCAGGACTTCCATAGAATACAGCCTGGATATAATTACTTCCAGAAATGATTTTTGGGGGTGCTAACGGGGAGCTTTGGTCTTTCTTGGGGCCTTTCTTTCTAGCGCCGCCCATGCATATGCCTATCCATTAACCGGCATTTCTTCATAAATATTACAAATTTTGATAAATGCATTATGCATTTATGGCATTATATATGGCATTATGCATAGTAGAACTTTATGTAGGCCTACACATTTAGGAACAGATATTGGGTTCTGCCCAAAGTCAAGCAACATAAAAGTAACGAGTAACGTAAAAAGTTACTTTCTATATGGGGTAACTAAGTAAAGTAGCGGATCACTTTTTTTAAAGAAGTAACGAGTAACGAGTTACACTACTTTTTAAAAGTAACTTCCCCAACACTGGTCAGGGTGTTCACGAGGCTAAAGGTGTGTGTGTGTGTCAGGGTGTTCACGAGGCTAAAGGTGTGTGTGTGTCAGGGTGTTCATGAGGCTAAAGGTGTGTGTGTGTCAGGGTGTTCATGAGGCTAAAGGTGTGTGTGTGTCAGGGTGTTCACGAGGCTAAAGGTGTGTGTGTGTGTCAGGGTGTTCACGAGGCTAAAGGTGTGTGTGTGTCAGGGTGTTCATGAGGCTAAAGGTGTGTGTGTGTGTCAGGGTGTTCACGAGGCTAAAGGTGTGTGTGTGTCAGGGTGTTCACGAGGCTAAAGGTGTGTGTGTGTGTCAGGGTGTTCACGAGGCTAAAGGTGTGTGTGTGTCAGGGTGTTCATGAGGCTAAAGGTGTGTGTGTGTCAGGGTGTTCATGAGGCTAAAGGTGTGTGTGTGTCAGGGTGTTCACGAGGCTAAAGGTGTGTGTGTGTGTCAGGGTGTTCATGAGGCTAAAGGTGTGTGTGTGTCAGGGTGTTCACGAGGCTAAAGGTGTGTGTGTGTCAGGGTGTTCACGAGGCTAAAGGTGTGTGTGTGTCAGGGTGTTCATGAGGCTAAAGGTGTGTGTGTGTCAGGGTGTTCACGAGGCTAAAGGTGTGTGTGTGTGTCAGGGTGTTCACGAGGCTAAAGGTGTGTGTGTGTCAGGGTGTTCATGAGGCTAAAGGTGTGTGTGTGTCAGGGTGTTCATGAGGCTAAAGGTGTGTGTGTGTCAGGGTGTTCACGAGGCTAAAGGTGTGTGTGTGTGTCAGGGTGTTCACGAGGCTAAAGGTGTGTGTGTGTCAGGGTGTTCATGAGGCTAAAGGTGTGTGTGTGTGTCAGGGTGTTCACGAGGCTAAAGGTGTGTGTGTGTCAGGGTGTTCACGAGGCTAAAGGTGTGTGTGTGTGTCAGGGTGTTCACGAGGCTAAAGGTGTGTGTGTGTCAGGGTGTTCATGAGGCTAAAGGTGTGTGTGTGTCAGGGTGTTCATGAGGCTAAAGGTGTGTGTGTGTCAGGGTGTTCACGAGGCTAAAGGTGTGTGTGTGTGTCAGGGTGTTCATGAGGCTAAAGGTGTGTGTGTGTCAGGGTGTTCACGAGGCTAAAGGTGTGTGTGTGTCAGGGTGTTCACGAGGCTAAAGGTGTGTGTGTGTCAGGGTGTTCATGAGGCTAAAGGTGTGTGTGTGTCAGGGTGTTCACGAGGCTAAAGGTGTGTGTGTGTGTCAGGGTGTTCACGAGGCTAAAGGTGTGTGTGTGTCAGGGTGTTCATGAGGCTAAAGGTGTGTGTGTGTCAGGGTGTTCACGAGGCTAAAGGTGTGTGTGTGTGTCAGGGTGTTCACGAGGCTAAAGGTGTGTGTGTGTGTCAGGGTGTTCACGAGGCTAAAGGTGTGTGTGTGTCAGGGTGTTCATGAGGCTAAAGGTGTGTGTGTGTGTCAGTGTGTTCACGAGGCTAAAGGTGTGTGTGTGTCAGGGTGTTCATGAGGCTAAAGGTGTGTGTGTGTGTGTGTCAGTGTGTTCACGAGGCTAAAGGTGTGTGTGTGTGTGTGTGTCAGTGTGTTCATGAGGCTAAAGGTGTGTGTGTGTCAGGGTGTTCATGAGGCTAAAGGTGTGTGTGTGTGTGTGTCAGGGTGTTCACGAGGCTAAAGGTGTGTGTGTGTCAGGGTGTTCACGAGGCTAAAGGTGTGTGTGTGTGTGTGTGTGTCAGGGTGTTCATGAGGCTAAAGGTGTGTGTGTGTGTGTCAGGGTGTTCATGAGGCTAAAGGTGTGTGTGTGTCAGGGTGTTCACGAGGCTAAAGGTGTGTGTGTGTCAGGGTGTTCATGAGGCTAAAGGTGTGTGTGTGTGTCAGGGTGTTCACGAGGCTAAAGGTGTGTGTGTGTCAGGGTGTTCACGAGGCTAAAGGTGTGTGTGTGTGTCAGGGTGTTCACGAGGCTAAAGGTGTGTGTGTGTCAGGGTGTTCATGAGGCTAAAGGTGTGTGTGTGTGTCAGGGTGTTCATGAGGCTAAAGGTGTGTGTGTGTCAGGGTGTTCACGAGGCTAAAGGTGTGTGTGTGTGTCAGGGTGTTCACGAGGCTAAAGGTGTGTGTGTGTGTGTGTGTCAGTGTGTTCATGAGGCTAAAGGTGTGTGTGTGTCAGGGTGTTCACGAGGCTAAAGGTGTGTGTGTGTGTCAGGGTGTTCATGAGGCTAAAGGTGTGTGTGTGTCAGGGTGTTCACGAGGCTAAAGGTGTGTGTGTGTGTCAGGGTGTTCATGAGGCTAAAGGTGTGTGTGTGTGTCAGTGTGTTCACGAGGCTAAAGGTGTGTGTGTGTCAGGGTGTTCATGAGGCTAAAGGTGTGTGTGTGTGTGTGTCAGTGTGTTCACGAGGCTAAAGGTGTGTGTGTGTGTGTGTGTCAGTGTGTTCATGAGGCTAAAGGTGTGTGTGTGTCAGGGTGTTCATGAGGCTAAAGGTGTGTGTGTGTGTGTGTCAGGGTGTTCACGAGGCTAAAGGTGTGTGTGTGTCAGGGTGTTCACGAGGCTAAAGGTGTGTGTGTGTGTGTGTCAGGGTGTTCATGAGGCTAAAGGTGTGTGTGTGTGTGTCAGGGTGTTCATGAGGCTAAAGGTGTGTGTGTGTGTGTGTGTGTCAGGGTGTTCATGAGGCTAAAGGTGTGTGTGTGTGTCAGGGTGTTCATGAGGCTAAAGGTGTGTGTGTGTCAGGGTGTTCACGAGGCTAAAGGTGTGTGTGTGTCAGGGTGATCACGAGGCTAAAGGTGTGTGTGTGTGTGTGTGTCAGGGTGTTCATGAGGCTAAAGGTGTGTGTGTGTGTGTGTCAGGGTGTTCATGAGGCTAAAGGTGTGTGTGTGTGTGTGTCAGGGTGTTCATGAGGCTAAAGGTGTGTGTGTGTCAGGGTGTTCACGAGGCTAAAGGTGTGTGTGTGTGTGTGTGTGTGTGTGTGTGTCAGGGTGTTCAAGAGGCTAAAGGTGTGTGTGTGTGTGTCAGTGTGTTCATGAGGCTAAAGGTGTGTGTGTGTCAGGGTGTTCACGAGGCTAAAGGTGTGTGTGTGTGTGTGTTCACGAGGCTAAAGGTGTGTGTGTGTGTGTGTGTGTCAGGGTGTTCACGAGGCTAAAGGTGTGTGTGTGTGTGTGTGTGTCAGGGTGTTCATGAGGCTAAGGGTGTGTGTGTCTGTGTGTGTCAGGGTGTTCACGAGGCTAAAGGTGTGTGTGTGTGTCAGGGTGTTCATGAGGCTAAAGGTGTGTGTGTGTGTGTGTTCACGAGGCTAAAGGTGTGTGTGTGTCAGGGTGTTCACGAGGCTAAAGGTGTGTGTGTGTGTGTGTTCACGAGGCTAAAGGTGTGTGTGTGTGTGTCAGGGTGTTCACGAGGCTAAAGGTGTGTGTGTGTGTGTGTGTCAGGGTGTTCATGAGGCTAAGGGTGTGTGTGTCTGTGTGTGTCAGGGTGTTCACGAGGCTAAAGGTGTGTGTGTGTGTCAGGGTGTTCATGAGGCTAAAGGTGTGTGTGTGTGTGTCAGGGTGTTCACGAGGCTAAAGGTGTGTGTGTGTCAGGGTGATCACGAGGCTAAAGGTGTGTGTGTGTCAGGGTGTTCACGAGGCTAAAGGTGTGTGTGTGTGTGTGTGTGTCAGGGTGTTCATGAGGCTAAAGGTGTGTGTGTGTGTGTCAGGGTGTTCATGAGGCTAAAGGTGTGTGTGTGTGTGTCAGGGTGTTCACGAGGCTAAAGGTGTGTGTGTGTGTGTCAGGGTGTTCACGAGGCTAAAGGTGTGTGTGTGTCAGGGTGATCACGAGGCTAAAGGTGTGTGTGTGTGTGTCAGGGTGTTCATGAGGCTAAAGGTGTGTGTGTGTGTGTCAGGGTGTTCACGAGGCTAAAGGTGTGTGTGTGTCAGGGTGATCACGAGGCTAAAGGTGTGTGTGTGTCAGGGTGTTCACGAGGCTAAAGGTGTGTGTGTGTGTGTGTGTGTCAGGGTGTTCACGAGGCTAAAGGTGTGTGTGTGTGTGTGTGTCAGGGTGTTCATGAGGCTAAGGGTGTGTGTGTCTGTGTGTGTCAGGGTGTTCACGAGGCTAAAGGTGTGTGTGTGTGTGTCAGGGTGTTCATGAGGCTAAAGGTGTGTGTGTGTGTGTCAGGGTGTTCACGAGGCTAAAGGTGTGTGTGTGTCAGGGTGATCACGAGGCTAAAGGTGTGTGTGTGTGTGTGTCAGGGTGTTCATGAGGCTAAAGGTGTGTGTGTGTCAGGGTGTTCACGAGGCTAAAGGTGTGTGTGTGTGTGTGTGTGTGTGTCAGGGTGTTCATGAGGCTAAAGGTGTGTGTAGTGATTACCTGAAGCTGGAGTCTCTGGTCCAGATGGTGGTTTCTCCGTATCTGGGAACTCACGGGCTTTTCTCCAGCGACGGCTCCATCATGCAGTCTTCGTGTGTGTTGGGTGAGCAGATTCTCCTCATTACACACACACACACACTGTTCTTGATTAGCATTGATGTTTCCCTTAAGAACATTTAACATCCATGGATCTTTCCATTCCACAAACGGTTCTTTAAAGTGATTGTTTTTTGCACTAAGAAAAAAATGGTTCTATAAAAGAGATCGTTCACCCAAAAATTAAGTCAGTAATTTACTCTCCATCATGTCGACACACACACACACACACACACACACGTCTCTGTGGGGTATTTTAAACGAATCCTGAAGTTACATTAGAATTAGCGTTTGGTTCAGTGGGGTAACTGGCTTTTAGCAGATGTTGTTAGTCTGAAAGTACATTTTATTTGTGGACTGTTGTTGTGTGATTGTACAGCACAGTGGTCAACATTTTTTTAATTGTGCTTTATAAATAAACAAACACAAGACTTTCATTCATCTTCGGAACACAAACACTTCGGATTTAGGCTTTTATTCACATGCTTGAGCTTCCACTTACCATATCTGTGTGTGTCAGTGGAGTAAAGCCTAGAGTAACCCAGTGGGTGATATAGAGTGACGAGTCTCTTCAGAAGCCTTGGATTACAGGGTTTATTTCAGCATCTCTTTATGAAGCGTCAGAGTTGAGGCTGAACACACACTCAATGGAGGGACAGAAATCTGTCCTAACCCTTCATTTAGGGATGTCACGGTACCAAAATTCCAGGAGTCGGTACCGATACCATTAAAATTTTACGGTTCTCGGTACCACAGCAAAATCAGTTTGAACTATTTTTCCAATTCAACTATTTGAAAAAAAATATTCAATTCAATTCAATGACTTTTTTATGATGGTAAATGTATGAAAGCATTGAAGGCTACATATGCTGATTAAACGAAAATATTGATGATATTGAGAAATATTGCTTATAAAAAAAAATCAAGTGAAAAATAAGCAACCTTCTATGCATTATTATTATTAGTAGTAGTAGTATCTTTAATTAATGGAGAGGTAGTTAATTATATTAGGCTACTGTACAATAGATTTATTTCTGTCAATTTCTTTAAGTTAAACCGAACTTTTATTTTGACGGGTTGCCGTGAAGACCTTTGAGTTTCTGTGCGTGTATGATGACGATAGTTTTTCTCAAATGAAACGGTAAAATGCTCATGAAGTGACTCTCGGACTCGGAGATGAATTGAATCATGTCATCATATCGTGAGGCAGCAGAGACTGAAAACAGCGCGAGCGTCACTCGTGCTTCTGTGTGTGTGTGTGTGTGTGTGTGTGTGTGTGTGTGTGTGTGTGTGAGGTAACGTTAAATGAAACCGCGCGTCTGCGCCGTTCATTCACACAGAGACAAGCAAAACATGCAGGGTTAATATTTAAATAGTCTTTTTGCAGTGTAATATACACAGACACCACATCAGCAGCGCCGCCGGTCGCCATGTCTCAGCGCTTTCATGAAGCGGACGCAACTTCACGCCCTTCGGGCATGCATGCGCATCCAGAACCGGGTTTGACAGGGTACTCGGTACCACCGGGACTTGGTACCGTGACGTTTAAAATTTTTTAGTACCGACTTGGTACCGAAGTACGGAATATTTTGACAACACTACCTTCATTTGTTCTGAAGACAAACGTCTCGTGGGTTTGAACGACACGAGGAAGAGCAAACGATGAGAGCTTGTGTCTGTGAGCGATGATCTCTGGGAGCTTCTTCTCTGTGAGAAACCCTTCATCTGTGAGAGTGTGTGTGATCAGTTGTGTGTTGTCCTCAGAGAAGCGGCTCTTGAGGCGCTGGCCGCGCTCAGACTCGCCACTGAAGAACCTCGTGGTTCGGTCCAAGAGCTACAACATCCCGGTGCTGACGCCGGTGTGCGAACACGAGCCCGAGCCCGGCGGGGTGCGGCGCCACTCCGTGTGTCAGATGACCTCGTTCGAGGAGGAGCCCGTGTTCACCGAGGCGCCGCCCAGCCCGATCATGAACGTCTGTGAGGATCCTCCCATAATCCCCGAGCTCTGCTCCGCTGGCGAACCGGAACGGGCCTCGTCCTCCTCCAGTCCCGAGACCGTGGTGGATCAGCTCCTGCAGTCTGTGGACTCCGACACCGACACCGAGGGGATATTCATCGACTTCAGCCGACAGCAGTCCAGCTCGCCTGAGGTCAGCCGGGAGAGCGAGAGCCTGGCCTGACCCCCGACCCACCGCCCTGACCCCCGACCCACCGCCCCGACCCCCGACCCACCGCCCCGACCCCCGACCCACCGCCCCGACCCCCGACCCACCGCCCCGACCCCCGACCCACCGCCCCGACCCCCGACCCACCGCCCCGACCCCCGACCCACCGCCCCGACCCCCGACCCACCGCCCCGACCCCCGACCCACCGCCCCGACCCACCGCCCCGACCCACCGCCCCGACCCGACCCACCGCCCCGACCCACCGCCCTGACCCCCGACCCGACCCCCGACCCACCGCCCCGACCCCCACCCCCGACCCCCACCCCGACCCCCACCCCCGACCCGACCCCCACCCCCGACCCCCACCCCGACCCCCACCCCCGACCCGACCCCCGACCCCACCCCCGACCCGACCCCCGACCCACCGCCCCGACCCCCACCCCCGACCCCCACCCCGACCCCCACCCCCGACCCACCGCCCCGACCCACCGCCCCGACCCCCGACCCACCGCCCCGACCCCCGACCCACCGCCCCCGACCCCCGACCCACCGCCCCGACCCCCGACCCACCGCCCCGACCCCCACCCCCACCCCCGACCCGACCCCCACCCCCACCCCCGACCCGACCCCCACCCCCACCCCCGACCCGACCCCCACCCCCGACCCGACCCCCACCCCCGACCCCCACCCCGACCCCCACCCCCGACCCGACCCCCGACCCCACCCCCGACCCGACCCCCGACCCACCGCCCCGACCCCCACCCCCGACCCCCACCCCGACCCCCACCCCGACCCCCACCCCCGACCCACCGCCCCGACCCACCGCCCCGACCCCCGACCCACCGCCCCGACCCCCGACCCACCGCCCCCGACCCCCGACCCACCGCCCCGACCCCCGACCCACCGCCCCGACCCCCACCCCCACCCCCGACCCGACCCCCACCCCCACCCCCGACCCGACCCCCACCCCCGACCCGACCCCCACCCCCGACCCTAATTTTAAGTAAAATATTTTACTGGTGATTTAAATAAGTTTGTCTTTTTTACCACTCCATGTTCAAGTGATGTGTAGAGCAGTGTTAAGAGCGGAGGCTGATGATGTTTTAAGCTTGAGCTCATCCGGCTGAGATCCGTCAGGAGGAGCACAGATTGAGGACCGGTGAACACCTGATCTACACACACACACACACACACACACACTGAGGAGCTGTAGTTGAGGAGATGATGACGCGGAGTCCGGCTGAGATTCGGCTCAGGTTAGACACACACTAGTGAACACCTGATCTACACACACACACACACACACTGAGGAGCTGTAGTTGAGGAGATGATGACGCAGAGTCCGGCTGAGATTCGGCTCAGGTTAGACACACACTAGTGAACACCTGATCTACACACACACACACACACACACACACACACACACACACACTGAGGAGCTGTAGTTGAGGAGTAGATGACGCAGAGTCCGGCTGAGATTCGGCTCAGGTTAGACACACACTAGTGAACACCTGATCTACACACACACACACACACACTGAGGAGCTGTAGTTGAGGAGATGATGACGCAGAGTCCGGCTGAGATTCGGCTCAGGTTAGACACACACTAGTGAACACCTGATCTACACACACACACACACACACACACACACACACACACACACACACACTGAGGAGCTGTAGTTGAGGAGATGATGACGCAGAGTCCGGCTGAGATTCGGCTCAGGTTAGACACACACTAGTGAACACCTGATCTACACACACACACACACACACACACACACTGAGGAGCTGTAGTTGAGGAGTAGATGACGCAGAGTCCGGCTGAGATCCGGCTCAGGTTAGACACACACTAGTGAACACCTGATCTACACACACACACACACACACACACACACACACACTGAGGAGCTGTAGTTGAGGAGTAGATGACGCAGAGTCCGGCTGAGATTCGGCTCAGGTTAGACACACACTAGTGAACACCTGATCTACACACACACACACACACACACACACACACTGAGGAGCTGTAGTTGAGGAGATGATGACGCAGAGTCCGGCTGAGATTCGGCTCAGGTTAGACACACACTAGTGAACACCTGATCTACACACACACACACACACACACACACACTGAGGAGCTGTAGTTGAGGAGATGATGACGCAGAGTC